GTGTGTGTGTGGGTGTGTGTGTGCGTGGGTGCGTGGGTGCGTGGGTGCGTGGGTGCGTGGGTGCGTGGGTGCGTGGGTGCGTGGGTGCGTGTGTGTGTGTGTGTGTGTGTGTGTGTGTGTGTGTTAGTTAGTTAGTTAGTTAGTTAGTTAGTTAGTTAGTTAGTTAGTTAGTTAGGTAGTTAGTTAGTTAGTTAGTTAGCTAGGTAGTTAGTTAGTTAGTTAGTTAGTTAGTTAGTTATGTGTTTATATACATATATAGATATATTTGCTTATGTATTTACCTATCCGTTTATCTGGCTTGTTGATTTTGTCTGATTGCATATCGATGAACTTATTCACTTGTTTCTCGTATGCATATACTGCAGGCAGGCAGGCAGGCAGGCAGGCAGGCAGGCAGGCAGGCAGGCAGGCGGGCAGGCAGGCAGGCAGGCAGGCAGGCAGGCAGGCAGGCAGGCAGGCCAGCAGCCAGCCAGGCATGCACCCTAAACCCTAAACCCTCAAACAAGAAGTTGTTAACCATAGACGAGTTCAGGTTGGTCTCAACACGTAATTAAGACAGTATGCTGTCGGCTTCGACTCTCTCTCTCGGGAGTTATGTGCCGCGATCTTCGGGCTCAAGCAAACCCAGGTGCCTCGTGGAAACCACTACCCAAGGACCCAAGTAATATAGGGGCTTCTATACTTCGCCTCGGCCCCGGCCGAAGCGGTCAGAGGTTCCTATTCGGATTCCCTCTATTCCCCACCTCCTAATCCCGTCCCCAGTGACCCCCACCCCTCACCCCCGGCCCCCCCGGGCCCTGCCGGGGCCCCCCGGTGCTCCTACCCGTTCGCCCCGCTTTCCCTCCGTTGTTGCTTCAACTTTCCCCGGTCCTCGTCCGCTCCGCCAACGGCGCCTTCAAGGCACTAGCAGTTCGTTGGCCCTCTTTGCTTGCAGCCGGGCTGAGGCGGACGACGCGAAGCGGCTGAAATTACAATAGGGTTTTGGCGTGTATTATACAAAAATTATACCCATGGACCCAAGTACCCACATGTTGTGCTTTAGGCATTAGAAACCACAAAGGAGTAGCACCCGAAAAGCTTCGGTAACAAGGGCGAGTTCATACACAGAACACGGAAGGCTTTGGGGCGTCTGGGCCCAGAAGGCCAGGTAAGGGAGGGGCCTTCATAATAATTAGAATAGGGTTTTGGGGGTTCCTTGTGATGAACATAGTACAATATACCCCCTCGGGTTTAGGGTCGAGAATCTCAGTTGGGGGCAGGTTGGGGGTATGGCGAGCACTGAAACATCCTTGCATTGAAGGACCATAACCCAACCAAAGAGGGGAGCAAACTCTGAAACCCTAAACCCTAAACCCCTAAACCCACAATATGGGTAGTTCTCTAAATTAGGGTCCCTTTTTTGGGGTTCCTTTTTATAAGGGTGCCGTACTATATTGGGGACCCAAAAAGGGACCCTAATTTAGAGAACTACCCATATACTGTCAATAGGATCCTGGGATAGAGGCTCTAGGCAGCATGAATGCATGCTACGACGACTTGCTCGGGCTCCTTTCCCAGACTGATCTCGAGCTCTTCCCATGTACCCCAAAGCCACTAAGCCTTAGACCTCTACCGATTTAGAGTCTGCTAATTTAGGGTTTACGGCTTAGGGCATGAATCATGGAACAAGGCCAGGTTTCGTCGTTCATCCCGGCGGGTCCTGCTGCGCTTTGCACAACAGGCCCTCTTGCTGCATGTCACATTGGACAAGGGTCAAGAGGCTTGGATTGGCAGCTGCAAGAGTTTGGGCCTTGTGGGCTGCAACACATGCCAACAATGTTCGAAGGTTCAGACCCTAAACCCGTATCAACCCCAATGGATAGGGAGTCGTAGGAGCTCGACAGGAACCCTCTCGATGCTCGTGTGGATATGACATAGCTCTAGGCGTCCATGCGCCTATGGAGTTTCAAGGCGGTTCCACTAATGTGTTTTCAGGCAGAGGTATACACACATCTGTTACATGCAGCTAGCAAAAATTCTTCGGGAAACAAGACAAGTGCCACGTCTGGAAGAAGCCCAAACTCCGGACAGTGAAACTCAGCGGCCGGGAACGAAGGAAACACCCAAACATGCCCAGCAGAGTAGGCATCGATTCTGGGCTCTTTGAAACGGACCCCAAGACTGAGCTAGCTTGGGCAGACTACGGCGACTGGCCACGACGTGTCAAAGCCTCTTGAGACCCGGCTTTGTCGTGAATTATGGGTTCAAGTGTTTTGAACCCTCTGCAAAGTCCGGACATTCAGCGCCGGGACTCTAGGACGGCGGATAAGCAGCCAACACCGGCCTATCACAAACACTACAGAACTGCTGCGAACAATTGGCACTCTCCACCTTTCTCATTTCTTCATTCCTGCAGATTGTCAGTCGACTTCTTTGTCGTCCTATTTTCGCACTTTGGATTCAAAAAGTCTGCCTTCTGTCTGCAATCGGAAGCCATAAGAACTGAAGGATCTATATGTTAGTTACTTGAAAGCTAGAGTGATCCAACCCTGAACTGTAAACCCTAAAAAGCCATAACCTTTAGCCGAAACCCTACATACACCCTTTGGTCCCCCAGCTTGCTCTCCTCCTCTGGGTGCGCAGCCTAGTTCATGTAGCCCCGGTTCGGCTCTTCGTGTGGGCTTGGGTACAGGCTTTTTGATAGGCTGTAGAGTTTATGGTATTTGATGGGTATTTGGGTTTAAAGACGTCCTGCTCCTAGTGGCATGCTGAATGGAAGGGTCTTTCACTCTTTGGGATCTCCTCCGCTGGCAAAATAATGATAATGAGGTTTTGGATATATTATACTCTAACTATATAAGGAGTATGAGGTGCTATGACCTAAACCCTAAACCCTAAACCCTAAACCCTAAACCCTAAACCCTAAACCCTATTGCCTATAGTCTGAGTAAGACTACACACGCATAGACAGCAGAGGGATGGGGGCCTGCAGCTGCAAAGCAGATTATGCCAAGCAGCTGATTCCTTCAGTGTTTTTTTTTTGGGGGGGGGGGGAGGGCATGTTATACTGAAACCCTAAACCCTAAACCCTAAACCCTATAATTACGGATGCACGAGGGACTATATTGGGAATACTCTTACTAAGTATTTGACCTCAAATCTTCCGTGAAGCTTCGCTGGCCCCTTCCAGGCCGCAAGTAGCGTCTTCGAGTTGGGAAGGACGTTGAGAGCAGACCTTCGGAATCCCTCCGTTCCAATGAAGCATGGTAGGGTTTAGGGTTTAGGGTTCAGGGGAAAGTCCGTCCAGACTAAAAACCCTGTTCCAGACAGAGTATTTATAGCCCCTGGACCCGTAAACCCCATGCTGAAACCCAAACTAAACCCGAAACCCGAAACCCTAAACCCTTTTGGGAAGATCCTAACCTCAAAACCCTGAAGCTGTTTGGGTACTTTGCCCCAGCGCTCATACCGCGACCGCCAGCGGTGCCGGCGCATCCAACGGCATTTGCAGGAGGGGTGCAGAGCCACTGGTAAGCCTCCGACATTCCGGTTTAGGGTTTCGGGTTTAGGGTTTGGAGGTTTAGGGTTTAGGGTTTAGGGTTTCGGTTTTAGGGTTTCGGGGGTTAGGGTTTCGGGGTTTGGGGTTCAGGGTTTCGGGGTTCCGAGGCTGTTGAAATAGAGTATTCCTTAAGGGAGTTATAAAGGTTGTGCCCGTGCTTTATTGAGTACTATACGGGTCGCACGAATCTCCCCTGGTAGTCCCTAAGAATAAAACTATATGAATTTGCCGAGAATCTTGTGCTATCTATACCTATCAAACCGAACCCTGAACCCTAAAACCCTAAAACCCTAAACCCTAAACCCTAAAACCCTAAACCCTAAACCCTAAAACCTAAATCCTAAACTCGAAACCCTAAACCCTAAAGCCTAAACCCCAGCCAGGACCCGACAAGGTACTCTGAAGAGAGACCTTTAGGCTTCCAAACCCTACACCCCATTGTAAAGGGTTTAGGGTTTAGGGTTAAAAGCTGGAAACCGGATTGAAGACAATTAGTGCTGGGGTTCCCTATACATTACTCTTAAGGATTGGGGCTGTGCGGTTTCCAACTTCGGGGCTTGTACTATAATCAAAGCTTGGTTAGAGTCTCAGTTTAAGGCTCTGGACCTCGGGTCCAGGAGAACTTCGGAATCTTAAAGTTGGGGGCTCAAGGTTGCCACCAAGAGCTCGTGGGACAAAGCAGGCTGCGGGGTAGGGGTAGGGGCTGCAGGGGACCCGGAAACTCGTACCTTTGAGCCTCGCCCTATGCTTCCAAGGACCTTTTGGTTAGGGCCCTAGACCCCTTAAGGACCCAACAAAACGATCGCTGGAAGCATCGGTTACTGCATCTGCTCTCCGTCCCTGCGCTGCAGGAATTTCTAGCCAAACTCCTGAAACGAAAAAACTAGGCATTATCGACCGTACACATGTGTCAGTAGCACATCTCGTTCTCAAAAAACCTTCTTCCAAAGCCCTGCTGGTACATATAAAGATGATTTTCGCCATTAAAGGCCTCTTCATCGGCAGCCCGCGCCGCGGTGTCGTTCGAGCTTTCGGCGGCTTTATGGGCAGTGATGACGGCAGTTGTAGTCTCCTGGAAAGCTCCGGGGAAGCAACCATGAATTATGCCCATAAACCCAAAGGGTCCTGGATACTGTTATGGGGGATACTTGCCCAAGTCATAATAACAATTCCTAATATAGAAACCCTACAGTCTACTATATAGGTACTTTGGACCCTTTGGGAAGGTGCATGGTTCAGGTTGTGCAGTGTTCTGCGTCTGGAGGCATCTGCTCTTCAAGCTTATCGTTTTTCCTAGGTTGAGGTTTCCTCCATCGAAATCAAAACTTATCCTCTGCTTTGTCATATCAGGATTGACGACGAGTTTTTTGCATATACTGAGTCCCTCAACCATATACTCTAACCTAAAGCTTAAATTTCTTAAACCTAAACCGAGAGTGCATCAGTAGTGTGGGTCGCTCATGATGCAGGGATGTTGAACAGGCCTCTGCGGAAACAAAGCATCTGCACAATTCGGGAACTGCAAACATAAGTGCAACCTTTTTCGTTCTATTCACGCATAATTAATCAAGCATACCCCCATTTTCAAACAAACCGTGTATGAGCCCAAACCCTATAAACCCCGAACCCTAAACCCTAACCCTAAACTCTACACCTAAGCCCTAATCCCTAACCCTTAACCCTAAACACCTATTTCAGAACCCTTATGGGAGCCCTAAAAGGAACCCTTGAGGAAACCCTCAAAGGACCCTCAAAGGAGGCCTTAAAGATTTCGCCAAGGCACTTCTTCAGCTCGGCTTTGAATGTGGCGTAGTGCGTGGCAATGCGAGCTCTCCTAAGCACGGAGAGCACAGTCGGCTCTGGATTCTCGGTTTAGGGGTTTAGGGGCTAGGGCTTGTGGGGCCTTCGGGTTTAGGGCCGAGCAGGGGTCGCTCACGGAGTTAGGTTAAAGGGTTCATTGGTCTCATGGGTTTAGGGTTCATATTTCTCATGTGTTTAGGGTTAAAGCTTTTCTTTTCAGGGTTTACGGCTCCTCCCTGTGACTGTAAGGATTCCTGTAATAAGGGCTCTCGCAACGGTAATAAGGGTCCTGTAATTGGACGGATGCCTTGCCTTGAGTTGTTGGGGGTCTTGAGGGTGTGAGGTTTTGTGTGTTTCGGGTTTGGGGGTTCTGGGTTGATTTAACGCGTTTCGGAGGTCCGGGATCTAGGCAGGAAAGCACAGGATTAAGTCCTGGCAGACACGATGCCGGACCTAACCTAAACCCGCCCGAAACCCTAATAACACCATGAACCCGAATCCAAACCCAAACTTAAACTCTAAACCCTAATTAAGCCCTAAACCCGGAGCCCTGTCGCATATATACAAAGCCGAAACGGCCACAAGGCCTGACCCAAAACAAGCTCGGGTTAAGCGATGACCTTGCACCGGTGTGCTGAAGGGAGGCTAGACCTTTCGACAGCAATCCTGAATGCACTCATATCAGGACAGCCTAACTTAGAAAACTACCCATAGTCATTCCGCAACCCAAAAGGCATAGGCCAGCGACATGCTCCAAATTCTGCGAGAACTCGCTTCACGGTGAAACCTGAAGCTCGGACCTTGTCCTGTTCACTTTGAAGCCTACCTTTCGAGGATTCTCTGCAGAAGACGCAACAAGTAATTAAGGTCATATGGCGATGGTAGAACCTGAAGCTAAACCCCTCGAAACCGAAACGGAATGCCCAAAGCTGTTTTGTAAAGTCCAAAGCCCTAAACCAAGCAACCCAAACCGGAAAACGATAGGCCCAAGCCTCAGGAACCCCAACTAAGCCCCACCCACTGTCACGACCCCCAAAACGTATACTCCAAACCCCCCAAAGCCCGTTTGGAAACCTATTGGCAAAGCCCGTAGGACAACCCTCCTATACCCATAATATAGACACCCCCATAAACCCCAAAAGCCCTACTAAGCAACCTTAAAACCAAGACCCATAGAGCCTTTCTGAAATCGCCGAAAACGCAGAAACAATAAGAGGTTCCCGGAACTCTACCCCCTGAACAAACCCTAAACCCCTAAATCCCGACATTCCAAGATTCTAATGCGTAAACCCCCAAACCCGGAACCATCAAAAAACCCTAAACCCTAACCCCAAATACCTATCGTATTTTAAGGACTTACAGAAAGAAATCATAATAATGAGCCCCAAAACCGTAGGTTCGTTAGTGTCCGGGTACCCTAAGGCTCCTGCACCCTTGTATTGAGATCCCAAACCCTAGCCCCCAAAGCCGAAGCCCTCCCCCAGAAAGCCCAAGACCCTCCTAGGAGCCTTAAGGTAAACCCTAAACCCTAAACCCTAAACCCTAAACCCTAAACCCTAAACCCTAAACCCTAAACCCTAAACCCCCAACCGTTGATTGCTGCTCGGGGCTCTGCTCTGCCTCAGCCTCAGGTCCCAAAACCAAATGCCAACTCTGCGACTTTGGATGCTTTGCCTTGGGCGTCTTTAGGGGTTTAGGGTTTAGGGTTTAGGGTTTAGGGTTTAGGGTTTAGGGTTCTTCTCGAGGCTCTAAGAAGGTGTGGGTATTGGGCTTGAACAGGGGGTTTTAGGTTTCAAAGTGTTAGGGTCTTCATGTTTTTTGGGGGGGTCTTTATGCATCTTAGTGGCTTTGAATAGAATGCCTTTCCTTGGCTTAGTTTTCAGGCTTTCTAAACATGCTATACGGGCGTTATAGGGGTTGAGGGTTTATAGTACTTTATAGCATTATATCATGATTTAGACTGACTGTGAGTCGTGCATACTGGGTTGTAGCATAACTTACATGATTCTTGGGCTGCTGAAGTCTCTGTGGGATTTGAGGGGGTTCGGGCTCGGGGTATGTGGGAGTGGTATAGGGTGGAGGTTGCGGACCGAGGATTGGGATATTTGGAGGGCCAGCGAGGGGGTTTAGGCTCTAAGCCCTAAACCCCTAAACCCTAAACACCTTACACGAAGTCTAGAGTTTGGGGGTTGGAGGGTTCAAGCAGGGCTCCGGGCTTGTAGATGAAGTAGTTTAAATGTGTGGACTTGGCACCTAAACCCCACACCCTAAACCCTAAACCCTAAACCAAACAAAGTAAATGCGTTTGAATTTTGAATGCTTTGAATCTCCCCCGAAGAATCAGAACGAACACCAAGAACATGACCTGTCATCCTCATCTACGGGCCTTAATAGCTAGAATAAGGCTTTAGGGTACAGTCTGCCATAGATACATAGAGACTACAAGAGGACCTTCATTATTCTGACCCCCGTGGTACAAGCTAACGTTAAGTCTTAGGCAGATCTGTGGCATGTTTTTTTTTCTTTTGGCGCGGGGGGGGCTGGCGGCCCTTGAATGACAGATCTTATTTCGGGGCAGGGTTTGAATTCCTTGTTTCTTGCAACCTCCATCTGAGCCTCTCGTGCTTTTTCCTCTCACAGAGACAAACAAACAGAGAGCCACAAACCCTAAACCCTAAACCCTAAACCCTAAACCCCAAGCCCCAAGAGCCTCAGCGTACAACCCTACTTGGAGGATCATGGGACTTAGTAAGTAAGGTTATAAGTCCCTTAATTGGGGTTATAAGTAAATTTCAGTGCAGTTACCTTAATTATAACCCTAATTACTAAGTCCCATGATCCTTTAAGTACGTCTTTTGGTCGATGCTGTCAACCAAGGCACTGCCACGACGAAGGCCTCTGCATGCGCACAAGTGCGAAAGCGGAAGCCGCGCTGGCTGAGCTCGTACAGGTGGGAGATCTTGTTCAGACCATATCCTCAAAGCTAGTTGAGGATCAAAAAACTGGGATTTGGAGATTTAGGAGTTGAGCTGGGGCTGCATGGGGATGATCTTTACTGGTAACTTGGGTTTTAAGGTTTGGGGAGGTGAAGCCTGTAACCTCAAAGCGAGTGCCCCTCCTATGACCTCCATTCTAGTACCGTACATTGGTGGCCGGAACCCTAAACCCTAAACCCTAAACACTAAAAGTCAGTGTTTAGGGCTGATGGGGGCCTTACAGGGTGTGGCAAGGGACGGCTGCCCCACACCCAAGGATGCTCTAAGACAGTTGATTCTGTGCCGTGCATCCCCTCGACCCTAAACTCTGAGCCCTACCTGGACCTTGAAGTACCTGCCTTTTTAGGGCTTATGATTTCCTTATACCAATCCTTAAAAAAGGTAGGTTCTTCAGAGTCTGGGGAGACCTTAAACACTCAAGTCTCTTCAGGTTCTTCAACCCTGCAGGTCTGGGGGGTTTCGGACTCTTGACTTGGGGGCTGAGAGGCCTGTAATTAAGTTTAGGGTTACAAGGTTGAGGGTTCAAGGTTCAGGGTTTAGGGATTACGGTACAAGATTTATCAACACAAGGATCCGGACAAAAGTTCTAGGGCTTGTGGGGTCAGGGCTTGCGCGTTCAAAACTTCAGGGCTTGGCACGTTTTGCGATTTCGGGACGATCGAATCCATCCCCGGAAGTTTCGCATGTGAGTTTGGGTAGCTCTCTAAACTCGGGTCCCTCTGTAGACCCCAGACATGGCGGTAATCTTATGAAAAGGATCCTAAAGCGGACCTTACCCAAAGGCCCCAGAGTAGTTCCTTTCTGGGGTTCAAACTAAGAATCCTATAAGGTTAACCCAAAAAGGAACTACTATGGGGCCTATGGGTAATTCTGAGGGCAGGGAAATGTGAGACGTTTGGAGTTCAAGAATTGAGCACAAAAAGTCCCTGAACCCAAAACTCTAGAGCCCTAAGCTAAGCGGTTTAGTGCTTAGGGTTTAGAGTTTAGGGTTTAGGGTTTAGGGTTTAGGGTAAGCTTAGAGGCTTATATATGCTAAAGCTCGAACTTTACCGCACACCTCAGTACACAGCCTGCTTCCATGTCCAAGAACCTCGAAACCGCTCGTCGTATGCAGGCACACTCTGGCGTGGAACCACCACATAGGGTTCAAAGTGCTCCTTGCTGTAGTGTGGCTCGGCGGCTTAGGGCGGCTTGGGCTTCAGTCTTTGAGATCTTTTTTTTAGTGTGGCAAACCTTTAACTCCACAAGAGCGTCAAGCTTTCCTCATAGAGGTGCACACAACCCATGCACATGTTGTGCCTCAGGCACTCCTCTAAAACAACGACCTTACTCACCGCATCATTCAACGACGTAGCAGCCACCGAAGCTGCCGAAGGAGGAGCCGGCAAAAGTTCCGAAGCAGTCACACCCTCAGACTCAGCAATGACGATGCCCATCTGAACCCCCGAAAAAAAGTCGCAACCTCGAGGCAACTCGCAGGTTTAGGAGTTATAAGTAGCTTCACTGCATCGGGGTACAGTACTTATATCTGCAAGCCTTCGGCTATCCTATTGGAGTTCCAATCTGCTGCTGTTTCTGTTGGAGCTTGCTGCAGTCAAAGTTCCAGGAGACAGGCCCTGATTGAGACATACCCTAAACCCTAAACCCTAAACCCTAAACCCTGAAGCCTGAACCCTAAACCTTAAACCCTAAACCCTGAACCCTAAACCCTAAACCCTAAACCCTAAACCCCAAAACAAAAAGCGCCGACCCTGCGCTCTTTGCACAGCTCTACACACGGTTTCGGGTTTAGGGTTTTAGGGTTTAGGGTTTAGGGTTTAGGGCTTAGGGTTTAGGTTTTAACAGAGTCTCCATAAACCCACTTCTGCTTTATTCCCGAACCCTTAACCCGAAACCTAAACCGAGAAAGAGAAAGGTCCTCGTAGTGGATGAGGTAGGCGTCCTGGGAGTTGGACCAAGTCCCCGGTGTGGATTTCACGCTACGGGGACTAGGTTAGACCCTAAGCCCCTGGAAAACTTAGAGTTGTAGGGTCAAGAGGCTATGCTGTCGGTTTAGGTTTTAGGTTTACGGTTTACGGTTTAGGGTCTTGAAAAGGATAGCCTTTTACGGATTTTACACGGCTCCTGAACATTGCTTCTCAAGCATATTGCATCATTGGAGCAGGGCTGTGTAGAATCTTGACATTGACTGCAGCTTATTCGAAGCTTTATCGATATTACCTACCTACTTACAAGTACACATACACACATGTTTATTTCGAAATACACATATTTCATATATGTATACACACATACAGGAACACTTATACATACATATATATATATATATGCATCTACATATACACATGTAACTTATATACGTGTATATGTATGTAAGTATGTAAGTATGTAAGTATGTAAGTATGTAAGTATGTAAGAATGTAAGTATGTAAGAATGTAAGTATGCATGTGAGCATGCATGCATGCATGCATGTGCGGGTCTACATGTCTCCCGTTTGGGCCCTTCAAAGCTATCCCGCTGCCATCAAGACCGAGCTGCCACTCCGTGGGCATGTTGGTTGAAATTTCCAGCATCGGGGCTCTCTGCTTTGCTTACCTCGGCTGATGCGGCGTATGCAAATTAGAATTGAAGGAAATTTTGGGGATATAGACCCTGTCAACAAGGTCCCTCTTAAGAGGGCGATAAGTAGGGTTAAGAAGGGTCCCCTTTAAGGGGTCTCCCCAATACTACTAAGGAGCGTAAGGCTTTGGGCTTTTCAAGTGATGTTGTCCCAAGCTTCAAGACTTCAGGGTCTGGGCTTAGGGTTTATAGGGTTTAGAGTTTATTTAGGGTTGAGGGTTTAGTTTAGGGCTTGGGATACCGAGTTAGTTGCAGAATGAAGGTAGCAGGGTCAAAGTTGTTACTGCTGGCAACGGTATCCATGGAATCGATTCCGCACGTCTGGGTCCCACGCACTCCACCCGAGTCGTCCTGCCGACCTTCAAGATTTCAACAGCATGATATGTCGGACCTGGCGAAGCTATGTTCCTTTGAGTAGTCCTGACAACCGCAGAGAGTGTGCCGTGCTCGGCCACGTCTGCCGCAGCCGGTGTCCAATTGTTCTCCGACTTTGGTGGCCCTGTCGCCACACACTTTCACCACTCCTGTCGCATCTGCCAGAAGGAAAGACGCGGAAAGACAGAAGTCACCCGTCGATTCATCCACCCTGCGTGCATCCTGCACGCACACGGTGACACCCTCGACGCGCCACTGCGGGGCACCTTTCAAAGCAGTAGAAAACGATAACTTAGCCCGAAGACCTTGGCAGAAACGCTGGGCACTGATGCTCTAGTAGTATGTATCGCTCCTGTCCTAACCCCCCCTCCCTCAAAAGCTCGAAACACTAATAAAGATTCCCATTTGCCAAACTCCGTGCCATACAAACAAGTTCTGATCACCACGCCGGAGATGGACTAAATTGTTTAGAACTTACGGAACCCCAAACACCTCTAAGCCCAAAGCCCTGAACACGACCAGGATCCGGCCGAGGACGATTTGACAGGGGCTCATATTGCTCACTACTAGCTTCTTAGGAGCTGCAACAAAGGGTATTTGGACCTAAACAGTTTTCGAAGCTCGGGGTTTAGCGCCATAAGGGTTGTGCTCACCGCATCCACGGATTCCATCTCCAGGTCCTATCCTAACCGTGAGCTACAGCAGTTTAAGAATTATGGTGTATGATTTGGGAATGAAGGTTTATCTGAACAGACTAAACATGGAAGGGCCGGAATAATTGGAATGGGCTTCTTTTGAGGGCGTCTGTCAGGGTTTCGATGCAGGTTTGTACCACCAAACCGAGGCTCTTATAGCACACGCCTCGAACACCCCACCCAAATTGGAATGAGGTTAAACCCCTAAACCCTAAACCCCTTGAGGTTTTAAAGGTATGGTTCGGGTCAAGAAGGCTTGATTAAACGCCCCCCCCATGTTACAAGCCTCAACATCCTCTAGCCAATCTTGACGAAGGTATCTTTGTTAAGCATTACTGCACGGGGTGTAACATCGAATTCCTGTGCTAATCTTCTTTGATGGAAGGGAGTCTATGAATCCGGGGCCTGCATTTGCCCTCGAACTGCAAATAAGGGCAAATCTTCTTCAGCCGCCAATGTAAAATTTAAGTGTAAAAGACTGATACCAAGCAAGCACTGACAAAGACGGACCTCACATCCTAAAGCCCCACCCTAAACCCTAAACCTTAGACCCAAGCCCTACATCCTAAAGCCCCGGCCGGCCAAACCCCCTCTAACCCCCTTCAAACGACAGAATGCAGGACCGAACCCCGAAAGCCGAAAAACCGACGAAGTGCTGAAACACTCACGAACACCCCAACTCTTACTTCAGGGTTTAGGTCTTTAGGGTTTAGGGTGTAGGGTTTAGGGTTTAGGGGGACCCCTGCACCCGGAATCGTCTCAGCGCAGGTGCTCCGAGCCAACGATCGAAGTCAGTGGCGCGGTGGCCGCACGGGAAGTGGCTGACGTGAAATCCCTCGACCTGACGTATTCAGGGACTTGAACCGGTTGATTGGGGTTTAATTTAGGGTTTATGTAGGGTTTAGGGTTGGGGTTCAGGGTTTAGGTTTAGGATTTAGGGCTTACAGTTTATGTAGGGTTTAAGTTTTAGGGTTTAGGATCTAGGGTTCAAAGTTTATGTAGGGTGTAGGGTTCAGGGTTTAGGGTTTGGGGCTTAGAGATTATGTAGGGGTTAGGGTTTGGGGTTCAGGGTTTAGGGTTTAGGGATTAATCTGTAGGGCTTTAAATGTTCAGGGTCGTACGTTTCAGGCTCCTCCGGCTTGGATGTTCCAAGTCGAAAAGGCTGGAATTCAGGCGGGGCTGCAGAAAAGGCCCGCAAGGGTCTAAGTCACGCAAACACATGTGCCACATGTATTGGTAGAGATATCTACTGCACTGGTACGTTTTTGCAGGTTCAGGATTCAGAGTCCATGATCTTTACGGATCTGGGAGTTTGGGGTAACTAATCATGACTCCCCAAGCACAAACCCAAATCGCAAACCAGACCCTGACTTAACCCTAAGCCCTAATGCTTAAACGCTAAGCCGCTTCCCGAAACCTCAAGAACAACCCTAAACCATAAACTCTAAACCCTAAGCCTAAACACTAAACTCTAAACCCCAAACCCTAAACACTAAACTCTAAACCCCAAACCCTAAACACTAAACTCTAAACCCCAAAACCCTAAACCCTAAACCCTAAACCCCAAACCCTAAACCCTAAACCGGGGGCATCTCGACTTTGGGGCCTCCCCGCGTGCAGCGGCGTGGCGAAGCTCAGCACCATGGAGCCTCGGCGGCTTCGGGGGCCCAGGCCTAGGGTGCAGGGTATTCGGGTTTAGGGTTTAGGGTTTAGGGTTTAGGGTTTAAGGGTTTAGGGCTTAGGGTTTAGGGTTTAGGGTTTAGGTAGTTTGGGGGCTTAGGGTTTAGGGGTTTAGGGTTTAGGGTTTAGGGGTTTAGCATCTATTCTCGTGGGGCCACGTCGCAAGAAGCGGTCAGCTCACTTGTGTTAGGGTATGAGGGCTTAGGGTGTACGGTATTAGGGTTTAGGGTATTGGGGTTTAGGGTGTTAGGGTATTAGGGTTTAGGATTTCGGAAACCTTGTAATTGCTTTTAATACTTAATTGCCCTGAAGGGAACCCCAAACCCTAACCACCCAACCCCCACCCTCATGTCTACAACTCAACAGAACCCTCAACCCTAACACCCGAACCCGAAATTCTGGCCACCCCCAAGCCCAAGACCCTAATTATACTTACCTAATAAGTTGATTAAGTAATTCTATTCCGTACCCCCCTAGAACTCTGAAAGGAACCCTCAATGAACCCCCAAACCCTATATAGTACTGTAAAAAATGCTATACCAGGACAGCCGAAACCCTAAACCCTTCTACTTGCCCCTCGGACCCCCGCAAATCCCCAAGCTAACCAAGCCCACCCAGATCCTAAGACACCCCCCAAACCCTGTAAAGAGGTCATTGACTCCACCGAAACACTCGGTCGTAGGATTGAGATTGAGGCTGTAAACCCCCTAATATAGGAACCTGATTAAGAAACCCTGGATCGCTACGAGGGTTATTTTTACGGATCCTCATCTTTTGAATTTATAGGGCCGGGGTTTCTTAATCAGGTTCCTACATCATACCTAAACCCCAAAACCTGATCCCTAAACCCTAAACCCTAAACCCGAATCCCTAAACCCTAAATATACACAAGCAAGCCTACCAAAGCAACGGCTCAAGCCTGAGCCAGAGAATGTCTCACCAAGCGGCGGCAGGGGCATGTTGCTTTTGCTGGCCTGATGAAAGCCAAGCATCGCTGGTTTGGGGGCTTAGGGTTTAGGGGTTTAGGGCTTAGGGTTTAGGGTATAGGGGTTTTGGGTTTATAGGGTTTAGGTAGTTTGGGGGCTTAGGGTTTAGGGGTTTAGGGTTTATAGGGTTTAGGTAGTTTGGGGGCTTAGGGTTTGGGGGTTTAGGGAATGAGACTAAACGCCATAAACTTGGCACCCGGCACGCAAAGCCATTGGCGGTACTCCCTCCATGTAAGGAATGCGGCGCGACTGAAGGTTCGGACTTGAGACGACATTGGGACCACCGACTCTGGGAGAATGGGAAATTTCAATCGCCAGATCCTACTTCAGGGTTAATGTAGGGGCCTTAATAAGTAGAATAAGGTTTTGAGGTATATTATAAGTAATTATGAAGGCCCCTGTATTAACACTACGTCCCAGAAACTAAACCTCAAAGCCAAAGCCAAAGCCCATTCCAACAAACCGAAAGCAAAATCAAACTCCCCATTCCTAAACCCGAAGACAAGAACCAGCACTTTCACCCCGAACACTAGACTTAGACCCTAAACCCTAAACCCTAAACCCTAAACCCTAAACCCTAAACCCTAAACCCTAAATATCATGTACCGAACTTTAAGGTTGGTATGGCAGAAACCTGGAACTTTCCAGCGACTGGACCTGGAATTTCCCTTCCACGATGCCGTGCAAACTGAAGCCAGGAATGCTCCAAACCCCCCCTCAGACCAAAGATGACCTTGCATAGACTATATAGGGCTTCTATAAGGCTTCTATTATAAGGTATATAGACCTTCTAGAAGGCTCCTAGAGCGGTAACTACCCACCCGAAACCTGTAAAAAAGGTGCCTTAAAAATTAGAATGGGGTTCTGGGGCCCATTATACTTTTACCAGAATAAGGAACCCCCCAAAAAATAATATAGGTAATTGTTAAGGCCCCTATATTACAGGGAGGCAACAGGACCTGCAGCTGGCGAAGACCGCTTGAACACTGGATCCTGATACCGAGACTAAGCCCTACCCTACAACCCTAAAGCCCTGAACCCTAGAACCCTAAAACCCTAAAACCCTAAACCCTAAAACCCCTAAACCCTAAACCCTTCCTGATACGAGACATGGTGGTTACAACAAGCTTCCCCAACCCTACAGCCTAAAACTCAACCCTACAGCACAGAAGTGCTAATGGCCTCAAGCCCTGAGCCCTAAACCCTAAAATAGGGGCCTTCATAATTATAGTAAGGAAGCCCCAAAATAGTATAGGTAATTATCTAAACCCTAAACCCTAAACCCAAAACCCTAAACCCAAGGCCTCTATATTAAACCTGAGGCCTCAACCCTATCACCTGAATGGCCCGGCTGTTGGCCTCGAAGGCAGGAATGACCAAAGCCCCGGGTCCTGTGACAGGAAGTGCTGGAGGGATCTGAGCTATAGGTTGAGGTTTTAGGGTTTAGGGT